AAAAATGCTTCTTATGTTAATTTCAACAGATGACCACTGGAATGAAAACATAACATTTAAAATGGTCTCATTGAACACGGGGACCTCTGGATGGGATGGCAGCCCTCATTTTGGGAAAATATCATTTCCTGTCTCATCCCTGAATGAACTGGGCCACTCACAGCTTCAAACAGTTTCCAGTGCAACCATCCACTCCCTGCACTGCATAAGCCACTTGAAGGGAAATCAAAGCCACTGGGCATAAGGTATGCCATCATTTTACTCACAAACAGGAAGGAAAATGTTCACTAGAAACTTGATTTTGGAGACGTTCAAATGTGAAAAGCAAAAGAGAAAGGCCCTGTGTCTTGGCCTGGGTGGGAACTCCCTGGCACGGGGCGCTGACTGAGAACTGGGGGCGCTGAGAAGGGGGTGATCTGCTGTCCAGCCCCGGGCGGGTTGGTAGCCCTGCTCCTTCATAGCCGTGGGACACGGGCAAACCCCTTCCCCTCGGTGAGCCGCAACCTGTATCTAATATTAACGTTGCCTGCTTCTCACTACGTTGCTGGGAGAATCAAACATGATCCTGTTACAGTTTTTACCATGTGCCCAACACTTATTAGCTGCCTATTCCTGCTGCTACTATGAATCTGGCAAGAGCAAGATCCTGAGTTTAACAAATATTAAATGGCTTCTAGAATGTGAATGAGTTCCCCTAGTCTCCGTTGCCAAACCTTGAGACACTGTGTGAAATAAGGCCTGACGACTTTGCTGCCTCAGGTGCGGTGGCTCTAGAAACAAAATGAAATCATTGTCTAAAATGGAGTCAAAACATCTTCTCAAACGGAAGAATCACTGGAGCCCCAAGCAGTGGATGACTGGAACACAATGGGTGATAGTTTGCATATGCTTTGCATGGCATTTGCATGCCACCAGTTCCTTTGTGCTGGAAGTGGAAACCCGCCCACCATCTGGTTCTTTCCTAGGCCCTTAGGGTCCCTTAGGTGTAGAGTTGGCTGCCTCTGCCTGGGAAAAATGAAGCAATTGGTGTGCATTAAGTGGTTGTGGCACGTGCCTCCAGGGCGGGTTATCTCGCTGTGGGGAGAAGGGCAAGTCTGTCCCAGGCTGCGGACCAGTCCCCTGGCACCACTGTGGACCATCCTGCCCTGAGGATGGTCGCTGATGCGAACACCAGTAACCCACAAGCATCGCCAGGCTTCACCTGAACACAACCCCCAGCACGACTGCACCTGCTGGTGAATCAGAGGAACCACAGCTAAGTGGCTGGGAAAACAGTTCCTGACCACCGGTCGCTTCCGTATCAAACCAGTGCTCCGCTCTTTTCCAGAGTGTGAGTAATCATGGGGTAGCGGACCTACGGCAAAGGTTTGCGTTCACTTTCAAAGTTGTCAGGATTTAAGGTAAACATGCAGCAGCCAATACCTGGCAATAAAGAACAAAAATCAGCACTGAGTTCATGAGGACCCTGGTGCAGAATCCTCTGTCAGCTTTACTGCTGTTTCTTGGGATTAACTGAGTATTTTTGAGCCCTCAATTCATGGCTACTTGTCCATAAGTGATAACGGACCTATGTTTACCAGCACATAGGCCCAAAGTTACGAAACTGCTGTTTCTTGGGATTAACTGAATATTTTTGTAAACTCAAATACCTATAATGTAGTATTGGTATGTAAACTGGACAGTGATTCTATATAAGAGGATATGAAATACCTATTGTTCATATAAGAGCTGAAAATAGCACCCTAATGAGTAAGTGTCCTCTGAGTTACCCTTTGGGTGGTGCATACAAAGGCCAGCTCACAGTTCTCCGAGGCTCCCACATGACATGTGACCCACAAGTGAACAGCAAACCCAACCAATCAGCCATAAAAACCCAAATTCATATCCGGATACTGGGGCCAGGAGACGACAAACATAATTAAGCTTATTAGGTTTTAGAGATGCTATTTTGTCATAGGATAATTTTATCTTTGGGTGCTTTACAGCTTTAATAAGGATAAAAGGCTTTTAAAATGACTGGAAATAACATGTGAAAGAGTATGCTTTTGCAGACACTTAGAAACACGGGAGCCTCAGTTACACTAAAATTTCAAAAAGTGACTCTAAGAAAGTTAAAATAACCAAATGAACCACCTTAAGAGACCACTTTTCTGTCCAAAAGTGTCACTTCTCATAGGATAGTCATGACAATGCCAGAAATTTTAGAGATTTAGTACAATGCCTACCACCTTTTTTTATACATGAGGAAGTCAAGATCTGATTTAGAAATTGGCACTTATTTAAAAAAAGGCAGAGTCCAGAAGATGAACACTCGGGACTGGCAGGCAGTGGACTGGGGACGAGGATCAGAGGCCTGGCTGGTGGGGACTCAGTTAAAGAGCTTAGAGCTTTGAAGAAAACCACGTTCCAAAACGAGGAAAATGTGTTAAGGAGAAGCTGCGTCTCTAAAAAGAATAACCAAACATAAGGATATTCTGGGGCAGAGTTGGGTGACCTTCTGGGTCTGGGGTCACCTGGGATGAGGGGTGGGCCTGTCCCCAGGAAGCAGGGCCCTGCACCACCTCAGTCCCTGAAAGGGCCAGGAAAGCAAACTCATTTCAAAGGACAGGGAACCAGACATATGACAGAAGGGGCATATGAATCACCGATTCAGTGCTACTCGGAACAGGAGGGCATCGCCTCTGTATCTGCTCATCTGTCTCCCAAAAAGCTCAAGATCCGGACAGAACAAGAGGCCCAGAAGCTGGCTCCTCAGGGTGTGTCTTACAGGCCCCTGAAGACGGAGAGTTCCTGTCCTTAAGGGAAAAGGAGCGGTGGACGTGCTGGTTATCCTCTGCCCGCCCCCACCCCGGGATGCAGTCTTGGCCTGTGCCTGTGCCTGTGCCTGTGTCCTGGCTCAACCACCTCTGTGACCTGCATTCCCTGGGCCCCTTGTCACCTGTGCTCATCCAATGGGAAGCCTGGCAAGGGATGGGGGATGGGAAGAGAGCTGGCAGAGTATTTCTTCCCATCTCTCCTGCAGCCCCTGCCCAGGGCCCTCACCTGCGGCCCCAGCCTCCTGGCTCTGCAGCAGCATTTGCTCCCTGGTCCCTGCAGGCTTGGCAGGGGCAAGGGGGTGTGGGGGGGATATAAATGCCTTCTTGGGCCTCCCCGCTCCTGGCTGGCTCCCTTTCATTTCTTCATTCCATGGACCCTGACTCTAATTTGGAGTCTCTCTTTTGCCAGGACCCTGAAGCGACACCAGGGAATGGAGACCATGGGATAAACGTGTACAACATTTTATGTTGAAACTGAGATACCTTACAGAGTAGAACGGAAATCCACATATGTACTTTAAACATAAACAGACCTTCAAAAACATCAGCTTCCAACCCCAAATACTGCTGCCCTGGCAGTTCACTCTCCTTTGGCCTCCAAGATCTTTAGCGGCAAAACTGGGAATGGATGCTCTACCAGGGGGAATGGAGCCTCCCTCAGACTCCACCTGCATTATAAGTGGAAGTACAATCAGGAGCCACACAGCGGCATTTCATTTCAGTCAACGACGGAACACAGATGTGAGGTGGTCTACAAGCTCATACTGTACAGCCTTGTGTGTAGTAGGCTATACCATCCAGGTGTGTGCTGGAACACTCTGAGATGCTCACACAACAATGAAGTCACCCAACAACACATTTCTCAGAATGTCTTCCTGTTGTGAAGCAACGCATGACTGTAAAGTTAGGGGAATTCCTTGGTTGCCTGAGGGAGCTGGTCTTCCAGGCCACAGAGCAGCAGCCACAACCTGATGGAGACAGGGGACGAGGGAGGGCCAGGGGGGGGAGGGAGAGGAGGAAAATAACTCGAGCAGGGTCAGAGCACACAGGAAGGAGGAGGAGGGTCAGGAATGGGAGCATCCTAAGATCTTGGCCTGTGTAGGAAGTCACTCCTCTGAGAACAATGTGGTTGGAGTCCAGCACTTCGATTCCTTTCAGAATAAAGAGTCAGTCCTTAGCAAAAGTCCTGCTATAAGGCCAACATCCTTTGTTACTAAATGGGCAGAGAATTATGCAATATTAGAACACTTTTCACAGTCTATAATTTAAAAATTCCCCACACCTAAAATGAAGACACATTGGTTATCTATATATATAAAAGCCTAAGTGACCGATCGACCATTCGACTGGTAGCTATGACACGCACTGACCACCAGGGGCAGACACTCCGACGGGTAGGTTAGCTTGCTGCTGGGGTCAGGCAAATTGGGACTGGGCGAGCCGGGCTGGACCCCCCCTGGAGCCCTCCTGCGGTTCCTCCTCAGCCCCGATCGTGCACCGATGGGGTCCCTCAGCCTGGACTGTGCCCTCTTGCAATCTGGGACCCCTCTGGGGATGTCTACAGGCCAGGCCAGGCCGAGGAACCCCACCGGTGCATGAATCTGTGCACCAGGCCTCTAGTTTAAAATAAAAGTGAAACACAAGTTGATCTTACTCCTAATAATGCTGGATAGATAATCGTTAACCATAACCCCTTGGACTTACAGTAGAACCTGGAAGAGAAGAGAAGGCAGCCACTAAGGGCATGTGCATAAAAGGAAAAACTGCTGGGCTTCTGGGAGGGGACAGTCACTGAGCAGAAGTGGAACCAGCTGGGAGTCCTCCTGTGTCCCCTCCAAACACCCACTTCATTCAATTCCTTTCCTTCCTCCTCATCACTCTCATATATGATGCCTCTGCTAAGCTTTTATTAAAAACCAGGCTCTGAAGTCAAGATCTGTGTGGATACTACGAGTTTACATTAAGGTATATATGTGAACTGCTACTATGGACAAGATGCCTTTACCTTTCAATACCAGCCTGATGATTCTTCTTAAATGCATTTGTATTCAGATGGAGAAGACTTCTCTTCATCAATACCTAATTCCAAGTGGAATTATCTCATTTCTCATCATTTTTTTTCAAAGATAAAAATTATCAAAAGGCAATAGACACCAGTAAGAACCAGGAGGTTAGTTTGCTTACCTGCTGTCCCCAGCATTTGCCACATACAGCTTCCCAAGGAGGCAAATGACAATGAGGGCTGTGCAGCCACCAGATATGTTATATGAACTCCTTTCTCGTTCTATCTGCAGGTCCTGGGGAAGAAAACGAAGTTAGTGTTGGATTGCACAGGAACGCGTACCAAAGGCTTTCCTAGCATCGCTCCCTAAGGGTCTGAATGTGCTTCAAAGAGACAAGAGAATCCTCGGCACTTGCTTTTCGGCCCCCTAATGAGCATTTCTGGAGAGGACACTGGCATGAAACTGTGGCCCGCCAGACCATCTGCGGACCAGAGGCAGGAAGCAGGGGGTGACAAACAGACATAACCAGGCAAAAATGAGAAGAATAAAACCAACTGTAGTCAATAAATATCACAGTTTATGGAAAATGCAGGCTTTGTACGGGCTGTCTGAACTGCCATGTGGAAAAGACAATAGAAAGGCTGACGAGGCCATGTACTTGGTCCTGGTCAATGATTTTAACCCCAAAGTCTCCAATCAATAGTTTCTTTGACAGCTAGGAGAGAGAGGTGACTTGAAGGACAGTGCCCTCTGTTCACTGCAGACAGGAGTCAACCTCCTGTCTTACTGATCAAAGATATAAAAGCTCCTGTACTTGGGTCTGACGTCCTCTTCCCACTGATTCACAAGAGTGACGCACACGCATAGTAACAGTCAACTTTCATCCTCAATGTCAGCTAGCGGGCGAAGCACTTTACATATAGAGTCTCATCTCGTCCTCACGACCACAGTAGTAGCCTCACTGTCCAGAGGCAGAGAAATGCGGTAACCTGCCCCTGTTTACCTGGCTGGAGTTTGGATTCCAATTCAGTTCTCTTCCTCCAAAGCCTATGTTATTACTTGCCACCTAATGAGGCGTCCCTAAGAAAGTTAAAAATAGACCAACACTTCCACTGACAGATGTGCATCACCCTCAAGACAGATCGTTGTGAAATTCTACTGACAGAAGTAAGGGCTGCGTTACCTCAGAAAATGGGAGTTTAATTAGGAAAAGAACCGAATGCTAGCTAAAATATCCCAGTGGTAATCCGCTGGTGGGGCAGAGGGAGGGAGAATGCGGTTGGGTGGTAAGTCGAGAAGAGGAAGAAACGGTGCCCAGGCTGACGGTGAGGGTGCCACTGGCAGACCGAGGGCCAGGGCACTTCAGTGATTCCTGGTAGCTCGGTGGCTTTGGCCAGCTCCTCGTACAAAGGGAGAGAGAATTCAGTAACCCAGCATTTATCAGCAATGGCTTTACTCCAGGGGCCAGACGTGGGGATACAAAGCTAGACAAACACCAATGGGAAACTGGAGACAAAAGAGCCTGAGTTGAGGCTACAGAATAGGAACAGGGTTTTGGTCAAAAAGTAAGGAGAGAAAAAAAAGTACAAAGACAGGAGCTGGGAGAAACCAACTTACTGGGAATGAAGTGGGAAAGGGGAAAGGCAGTGGGAGGGCTGAGTAGGCCGGGGGTTGGGGAGGGGGTGGGGAAAGAGTGTGTGTGGGGTAGTTCAGAAGCAGGTGAAGGAAAACTCCAGCAAGGGAGTGAGTGAACAACAGCATCGAAGCTGCGCCAGGCTCCTCCATCGGGCACGTGTGGCCGACTCTTCTGCTTGTCTTCCCACAGGACTTTCAGGAGCAAGAGGTTCCTGGCCAAGAAAACAAGGCAGAATCGGCCCATTCCCCCTTGGATATGGGCGGAAACCGGGAATACAATCAGGCTCAACTCCAAGAGGAGACATTGAGAGGAACCAGGCCGGGTCTGCCAGGCGTCGCCCAGGAGAGGCGCTCACACCCAGCTGCACCCAGGATGCCTGTGGCTAACCGCGTCCCTGAAAAGCTAGATCACCACTGTCGGGGAACTGGGTGTTTTCATTGGGAAATTATCGGAAGAATGATTTTTCTCTTTGTTGACATTTTTCTGCACTAGTAGGCGGGGTCAGTAATACACAATGTGAGACCTTTTTTTTAAAAAAAAGAAGCTACACAAGGGTCAAGCATGAGGACTACCTTCAGAGACTTTACTTAAACTGTATAAATCAGCTTTCTTAAGGGACTGTTGTGAGGATCACATTAGACGGTGTGTGTGAGGGGCTTAGCAGGCCATCTAGATCAGGGGTGGGCAAACTTTTTGACTCGAGGGCCACAATGGGTTCTTAAACTGGACCGGAGGGCCGGAACAAAAGCATGGATGGAGTGTTTGTGTGAACTAATATAAATTCAAAGTAAACATCATTACATAAAAGGGTACGGTCTTTTTTTTTTTTAGTTTTATTCATTTCAAACGGGCCGGATCCGGCCCGCGGGCCGTAGTTTGCCCACGGCTGATCTAGATCCTTCCCACAGCCTGGAACTCCGTGACTGACAGCACTGTTACACCCTCAACACCTACACTGGGCCAGGTTAAAGGCAGCTTAGGAAATGTCTACTAAGTGGGCAAATAAAGTCACACAACTAAAAATGCCTGGGTTTCCAAAGGCTCTCCCACCGTCTCATCTCTGCTATAACATGAGAAATGTGTTCACGATTCACAAAAGAAAAGCTTACAATGCAAATAACTGCTCACTCAGGTAAGTAAGGAGGAGCCCACACTTCAGTTAGCGAAGTCCCGTGACCAGAACGACTGACCGAATGTCCTCAGAGCCTCACAGGGAGGGCTGGAGGGAGAAGGGAAGGAGGGGCCTGGCTGGCCACCGGGAGGGGCTGTCAAACAGAAGTGAGAGAGAAGAGAAAGCAAGCATCCAGCTGGCAGAAGTTTTGTCTGTTTAACCTCCAAACTATGCATAAACAGAACCAAAATCTTGCCCACAAAGGCGTTTGTGGGTGGATTTATTCATTTTTTCACATTTAAATAAATAGTATCAAGTTGATATTATGATAGATATGTATTTCATCAAATTATCATATAAATTGGTATGTGAAGTCCACACCCAATTATTACTGCTTTTTATATACTGGAAGGAACTGCTCTAGCTCAGAAACCATCCTTTCACATCCAGAATCAATATTTGTGTAAATACTTCAAGTCTGGATGAAAGGCAATTTTTATGAAAACCCCCTGGGCACTCCCTGCTTGCATGGACTGGGGTATGAACGGCTCTTGACAGACTTACATC